TTGAGAGCTTTGTAGGTTAGAAGTAAGATTTTGAATTTTATTCTGGATTTGACAGGGAGCCAATGGAGAGAAGCTAAAACTGGAGAGAGATGATCTCTCCCAGTAACTCCAGTTAAGACTCTGGCAGCAGCATTTTGGATCAACTGAAGACGTTTTAAAGAAGTATTTGGACACCCAGATAATAAACCATTGCAATAGTCCAGTCTAGACGTGACAAATGCATGGACCAGTTTTTCTGCATCATCTTTAGATCAGATGTTTCTAATGTTAGTGATATTACGCAGGTGGAAGAAGGAGGTTCTAGTAACGTCTTTAATGTTAATGTTTTGAAGTCCTGGAATAAATCTCCAGTAGAACTTGAGGAACCTTGAGGGACCATGTTGGTTGATGTCCTTGTCCTGAAGGTCTTCATGAAGACCCCAGGTGGATCTCAGATCCCAGGTTCTTATCTGGCCCTTGATAAGGGTCAGATAAGATTCACACAAAAGTTCCTAAATTTTAAAAACAATATATAAAGAAATAAGATAAAAATATCAATAATATTGTTCAATATGTATTGGAACATTGATGAGGACAGAGTATTGACAGCACAGTGTTACAGGCAGAGTGTGTGTTTCAGCAGAGGTCAGCATGGATTTAATCCTTGTTGAGTTTGTTGGAGCAGTGATGGTTGTAGAGTCTAACAGCTGCTGGAGAAAGGACCTGCGGTGACGCTCCTTTGTGCATTTAGGAGCAGGAACCTGTCACTGAACGAGCTCTCCAGTTCAGCAGCAGCTTCATGGGGTGGAGACGTTGTCCAGCAATGATGTTATTTTAGCTAGAGTCCTTCTGTCTCCCACCACCTGACCTGGGTCGAGGGGCGTCCAAGCACAGAGCTGAGCTTATCTAGCTTCTTCTTCTCAGCTGATGCTAAGCTGCTGTTCCAACACACAACACCATAGAAGATGGCTGATGCCACTACCGAGTCAAAGAAGGTCTTCAGGACCTGCACTCCAAAAGACCTCAGTCTCCTCAGCAGGTAGAGTCTGCTCTGACCCTTCCTGTAAAGTGCATCAGTGTTGTGAGACCAGTCCAGTTTATTGTTCAGGTGAACACCCAGGTACTGATAAGAGTCCACGATCTCTATGTCCACACCCTGGATGTTCACCGGGGTCAGTGAGGTGGACCTGTGCCTGTGGAAATCCACCACCAGCTCCTTAGTTTTAGCAGCGTTGATCAGGAGCTGGTTCTGCTGGCACCAGTCCACCAAGTCTTGAGTCCACTGAGTCGTCCTCACCTGTGATGAGACTGACTGTGGCAGAGTCAGAGAACTGTTGCAGATGGCAGTGAGGGAGTTGATGGAGAAGTCTGCAGTGTAGAGGGTGAAGAGGAACGGTGCCAGCACAGTTCTCTGTGGTCCTTGAGGATCTTCCAGGACTCCTGGAAGGTATGCTGACGGTCTGCTCAGGGGTTCCTAAAGAAGATCCAGAATGAAGATCCAGTGGACATGACTCTGTTCTTCTCTGCTGCTGTGACCTCTGACCTCATGGTAAACCGTCACCACGGAGATCATGTCGTCATTAGCAACTATTTCCTGTGTGAGGGGGCGGAGCTTCAGAGCTCACATGCTCTGAGAGACGAGCTGGTTTAATGACCCCCCATCGCCTTTATCTCCGTCAGACAAACTCCGTCCCCATTCAGTGCTGACGTCATCAAGAGCACACACACACACGCACAAACACAAACACACACAAACACACACACACACACAACAGGTCATCAATCACTTGATTAGAGAGGTTGCAGGTCACAACAGCACACTGTGTGTGTGTGAGTGTGTGTGAGTGTGTGTGTGTGTGTGTCTGGGTGTGTTTCTGTGTGCCTGCTGAACTGGTTCAACCAGAACTCAGTTTCCAAGATTCTTGAAAAAGTTTCCAAACCAAAACAGGACCAGAGTCCAGGGACCCCGAGAGGTTCCCGTCCTCCTGGATCAGGGTCCACAGGACTACAGGAGTCTTCGAATGGTTCTATGAGCCTCTCTGAGGGTCTATGAGGGGTCTGGGAGTTCTGGGCTCTGAAGTTTAATTTTCATGTGACATGGACTGTTTCATTAAAGACACAACTGGAGTCATGTCTGTAACCATGGCAACAATAAAACAAAGTCACAAAATACTGAGATGATATGAAACTAACACACACACACACACACACACTCGTTTGCATCACTTTCAGTCATAGGTTTGACACGGCTGCTGCTCATCACCAGGCAACGACCTGCCTGCAGCCCAAACACCTCGGCCAATCAGCATTGACGTCACATGGCGCTGTGAGAGAGAGAGGGTGTGTGTGTGTGTGTGTGTGTGTGTGTGTGTGTCTGTGTGTGTGAAATTAGATCCTGATGTTTGTCTGACGTTAAACATCAGTCCAATTAAGAACAGTCAGCTACAGGTTAAATACAAATAAAATATAATAATCAGGAATTAGGAAGAATTCAATAATCACCAATCATTAATCGGTAATCAATAACCAGTGGTACCAACGACCCATGATCAATAAACACTCAGACAAACAAGTTTTTACGTGTCTCTCTTTATTTACTTTTTGATTTGTAGAAAAACATCAGTCATGGAATTACAGCTGGGTAGGCGGGACCAAAACCCATCGTGACCTGGGACCTCCCACTTTCTGCTGTATGGAGGAGTGGGCGTGGTTTCAGGAATCATCAGGTGTCAGTCAGTAGCCACGGTAACAGAGAGAAGGGTTGGGCCTCAGTTGATCTTGGGGTGGCGGAAGTCTTTCCCGGCGAACTTGGCTTTGTCCCCGAGCTCCTCCTCGATCCTGCAGAACACAGAGGCTTTTACTCTGAAACAGAGGCCTTTACTTTGTAGGAGACAGGAAGTGCTTACCTCATCAGCTGGTTGTATTTGGCCAGACGCTCTGACCTGCAGGGGGCTCCAGTCTTGATCTGAGAGACAAAGGCAGGAAGTATCATCATCAGAGGATCCAACCAGCTGAGGGTGAAGTTCTGTTGGACTTGACCTGGAAACATTTACTACCTGTACATGTACACCTGAGCATCTACCTGTACATGTACACCTATGCATCTCCTGTACTGTTTCCCTGTATGTTCACCTGTACTTGTACACCTGAACATCTTTCTGCTCCACTGCCTCTTACCCTCCCACCTACCTGTCCAGTGCAGAGTCCAACCACCAGGTCAGAGATGAAGGTGTCTTCAGTCTCTCCAGAACGATGGCTGACCATCACACCCCACCCACTGCTCTGAGCCAGCTTACACCTGAGACGTAGGGAGACGGGTACAGACAGAGACAGTTAGAGAAAGACAGACAGGTAAGGAACAGGTGGAAAAGAAAACACAAGCAAAACTGTAACAATAAATTAATGTTTAATTCATAAATAAACAAACGCCTGGATGGACTCGTTGACAGAGTTGATCTGGTTGACTTTAAGCAGCAGACAGGTGTTCAGACAGACAGGTGTTCAGACAGACAGGTGTTAGGGGTCTTACGCCTGGATGGACTCGGTGACCGAGCCGATCTGGTTGACTTTGAGCAGCAGACAGTTGCAGGCCTTCTTCTCCACGGCCTGCTGGATCCTCTTTGGATTGGTCACCGTCAGGTCGTCTCCTACGATCTGATTGGTGGAACAGAGAACCAGGCTGACCTCCATGTTCAAACAGAAAACAGATCCTGACAGACCACCTGAACTTAGGTGACGCCTCAACCTGTCTGTCTCACCTGGATGTCCACGGAGTTGGTAAACTTGGCCCAGTGCTCCCAGTCATCCTGGTCAAACGGATCCTCAATAGACTGGACTGGAAACAGAGAGAGACAGAATCAGTCTCACACAATGACCAACAGTTTGTGGTGAACTAACTTCTGGATGCTGTCCCGTTGGACCTGGGATGGATTCTTACCAGGGTATCCCTTGATGAAGCTACGGTACAGGTCTCCCAGCTGCTCTCCAGAGATGTGTCTGGATGGATCATCGGGGGACTTGAAGTCCAGGTCGTACTTGCCATTGCGAAAGAACTCTGAGGCGGCGACGTCCATGCCAATGATGATCTTGTCGGGGTAACCGGCCTTCTCGATGGCGGTCTTCAGCAGCTCCAGAGCTGCAGAGACACATTGATGAAGACTGTCAAATCAAATCAAATGTATTTATGAAGCACGTTTAAAAAACTACTCTTGCTGACCAATTACAAATAATGAGAAAAAAATACAAGAACAGGAGGCCATAAAAACATACAAGCAATAAAAAAACTACACAAAAAACCAATAAAACATAGTAAATAAATAAATAATCAACTCTCACGCTGTATTAACAGCCAGAGAGTACAAATGTGCTTTAAGAAGAGACAAGCACCCCGAGAGTTTAAGAGGCAGCTGGTTCCACAGTTCAGGAGCTACAGCTGAAGACCTGATCCCCTTTATGGACCATCCTGGACCTCCGGACAACCAAAAGCCAATGATCATTGGATCTGAGGGATCTAGAGGGCACATAGGGCTGCAGGACATCCGACAGGTCTAGAGGAGTCTGTCCATTCAGGGCCTTACAGGTCAACGTGAAGCCGATGAAGTGGGGACATCTGTCCACACTTCTTCGTTACAGTTAAAAGACGAGTTGCAGCGTTCTGGACCACTTGCAGACGAGAGGCCGGCCCGGCTAACAGCGACACACAGAGAGTTGCAGGAGTCGAGTTGGGAGGTAATCGAAGCATGAATCAGCTGTTCAGAGTCTTTAAAGGATAAAAATGATTTGACTTTGCATAAAAGACTCAGTTTCAAAAAGGATCTTTTTATAACAGAACTAATGTTTCTGTCAAAATTAAAATTAGAATCAAATATTAGTCCCACATTCTTTACATGACCTTTTACAAATGGCTCCAAGCTAACCAGATCTGAAGAAGAAGCACTTCGGTTTTCACTGGGTCCAAAAATGATGACTTCAGTTTTATCCTCATTAAAACTGAGGAAGCTTGAAGCCATCCAAGCCTTCGCCTCGGAGAGGCAGTCAAGCAGGATTTCAGTGAAATAGAAACATTTTGCTTCAAATGACAGCAAACTTGTGAGTCGTCTGCATAAGAATGAAAAGAAATGTTGAAATTTCTAAAAATGGAACCTAAAGGCAGCGTAGAAATGGAAAATAATATGGGTCCAATAATAGATCCTTGGGGTACTCCACATGTGAGGGAGGCAGAGGAGAAGACAGATTCTCTGAGGTTTACAGAGAAAGTCCTGTCAAACAGCTAGGACCTGAACCAGTTCAGAGCAGAACCTTTGACAACACATTGCTCCAACCTGGAGATCAGAACCCTGTGGTCAACAGTATCAAAGGCAGCGGTCAAGTCTAAAAGCAAAAGAAAGGCAGAATCTCCTGAATCTGGAGCTAAAAGATCATTAAAAACTTTTTAAAAAGTGCAGTCTCTTTAATGTGCAGAGCTAATAGAACCAATGTTACACCACAACCCAACCACAGATAGACAGAACCTTACCCTCGTTGTTCTCCAGGATGTTAGGAGCGAAGCCACCCTCGTCTCCCACGTTGGTGGCGTCCTTGCCGTACTTGGCCTTGATGACATTCTTCAGGTTGTGGTAGACCTGAACACATATTGGAAGGCACGGTTAAAGGTAGATGTGGCTTCAGCCAGCAGAAGAAACTGGACTCAACGCGCCAACCTCGGCTCCGATCCTCATGGCCTCATGGAAGTTTGCAGCTCCAACAGGAAGAATCATGAACTCCTGCATGGCCAGCTTGTTTCCAGCATGACTTCCACCATTGATCACGTTGAAGGCCTGAACACAAACATAAAAAAAAACTAGATGTAACAAAACACAAACTAACATCAGTCATCGTCCATCAACCACAAGCCCCTCCCACTCACAGGAACAGGAAGTATGACATCTTTGTGTCCAGCAAGGTCGGCGATGTGACGGTAGAGGGGAACACCCTTCTCTGCAGCTCCGGCCTTACAGACAGCCAACGACACGCCCAAGATGGCATTAGCTCCGAACTTAGCTGTAGATGGACATAAAGGCAGACAGGTGAGACACAGACAGACAGGTGAGACACAGACAGGTATGAAGAGACAAAAAGACAGGTCCTTACATTTGTTCTCAGTGCCGTCCAACTCCAGCATGAAGTTGTCGATCTTCTCCTGCTCAACAACGCTGAATTTCTGGACAGACAGAGAGACAGACAGACAGACAGAGAGACAGACAGAGAGACAAGTGGACAGATGAGAAGTGGTTAATTTTAATAAGTAATTTAAATATGAGGATTAAGAAATGGCAGTTTGTCCAAGAGTTATTCCAGAAATTAACCCAACAGTTTTTACAGTCTTCCCAACAAGAAATCCCACTTGAGACATGAATGGGGGGACATTTGGACTGTCTTCTTTTGTCTCCATGACAAGAGTCATAACCGTCCCACACAACAGGTTTCACACAAACTATATGGACATGTTTTTGTAGGTTTCTTTAAACACTGATGTTGGTAAACTGGCTCCAGAGTGAAACTTAAACTTCAAAATCTAGTTCTGGTTCTGATAGGAGCTTCTCTCTTCTAAAGAACTGGACCTGCTTTAGGTAAAAACGCTTGGTTTTACAGGAAGCAGTCCTAATTTAGTTAATAACTGAAGACCCACTTCTCCTTTAGCTACCATCTGCAGAACATCTAGCTCCTGGCAGGTGAAGATTTTAAACAGCGTTACTTGTAAGGACCCGTTCAGGACATGCTACAGACATAAATACACGAAGAAGAGTCACAGAACGAGTCTCAGAGTAGCAGTTCAGAGGAGTCCCTTGAAGACAGCTGCAGTCCCATCTCACAACTCTGTGCACAGATCTGGTTCATGGGCATCAGAGAGACCTTGCGAGTCGGTCTCTGGTCCGAGATAAGAGAATGTTTTGGGAGAGAGCTGAGCTGCCTGTTCTCATGGCAGGAGGGAAAGATGTTCTCAGCCACAATAAAAACATGTAGAACCCTTGACCGAAAGTTCTCTAACAGTAGTCGTGCTCTTTTACTGAGTAAACAATGTTAGCGAACGAGAAGTTTTCCAACAGCCACCATCTGCAGTACCAGGTGGTGATTGGTATCTCATACCTTCTCGATCAGCTTGGGGGCGATCTCCTTGTTGACGTGCTCCACAGCCTTTATGGTTCCTGCAGACAAACATGGGTGTTAGCACCTGGATCTGATCTTCAGCTCCTCACCCTCCCTGATGGTCTTCTCTTACCTTTGCCCAAGTAACGGCTCTTGTCTCCGTCACGGAGCTCCAGTGCCTCATGGACTCCGGTGGATGCCCCACTGGGGACAGCAGCTCTAAAGAGACCTGAGGGACAGTTTGACCTTAGCTCACTGACTCTGAAGACCATCTGAGATGCACCAACTGAGGATCTGAGGATCCTGCTGCTTACCTTTGGCTGTCCACAAATCCACCTCCACTGTGGGGTTTCCTCTGGAATCCAGAATCTCACGAGCATGAATCTTGGTAATAGACATCCTGACTGTGGAACACAGAGGGACATGGGAGGACAGGGGAGACAAAGTGATGAACACAAACTGTAAGTCCAGTTCACTTGTTTGAGGTGTTCACACACAGTGATCCAGTTTAATCCCACATGAACTCAATTATTTGTTATGAAAAATCCAAGAGAATAGACAGGTCTGGATGGCAAAGTTTGGGACAACTGGAGCAGAACCAGAGCTACAGTTAAAAAGACAAACACATCTCACACGGCAAAGGCAAGTCTAGATTCTTTCCACAAATGATCAAAGAGCAGTTCGACCTGTTTCTTAAACTAAAAACATAGTTAGACTCTCCGGATTACAGGAACACACTCGTACACCGTCTATGGATTACAGGGAAAGAGATGGACTAAATTCTTGGATTAAGGAAGCACATTCAGATCTTCAGAATACTTGTATGGTCGGAGAACAACAAGGAACTTGATGTTCCTCATCCAGATATGGGTAACCGGGGCCTCACTCTGGAGCCAGTTCTGAGGATTGGGCTCGTCAGCACGCACCTGGTGACCAGGTCTCTACTCATGGTGCCCGGTTGGGCTCAGCCCAAATGTTACATGGGTTTGTCATCTTATGGGCCCGCCCCCTGCAGGAGAGCCTTGGTGCTCTGACCCTGACTCGCCAAAGCTGGTTCTTCAGAGTTTGCCCATCTCATCTACATGTGTGCTTTGGACTTGGAGAAGCATTCAACCATGCTCCTAAAAGTGCACTGTGGAGGTGCTCCATGAGTATGGAATTGTGTGTCGCTGATACAGGAGGTCTAAATGAGTTTTCTCTGAGGGTAGCTGGACTTTCCCTTACAGGTACTGTGAGAAGTACAGTTATCAGGCGAGATGTCCCCTGGATACCTCTCGAGGGAGGTTTTCCAAGCATGTCCAGCTGGAAGAGACCCAGAGGAAGACCAAGGACACCCTACAGAGACTATGTCTCTTAGCGGGTCTGAGAAAACTTTGGAGTACTCAAAAAGAGCTAGAAGAAAAGTCTGGACCTCCCTGATCAAGATGCTCTCCAGAGACCTGAGTCCAGAACCAGATGATAGATGGAGTGGACTCATCTTGTCCTTGGATTACAAGAACACATGGACCCTGTCTCTGGTTGTTTCATCATCATCATCATCATCATCA